CCTGCATAGCTCCGGTGAAGAGCAGGACCCTGAACAGGCTTGACGCGAGTTCGATGCTGCCTTCAAAGGTTTGTGTTAGTTGCAAATAATAATGTCAGGTGTTCCCCATTTGCCTACCTTACCGTGCTTTGCATACCTAATTACCTCTTAAGCCACCCTGTAACTTCTGAGAGGCCTTGAAAAGGCGGCGGGGTGTTATCTGACTCTGATCCGGTATCTGATAAAATGCTCCATCTCAAGATCACCCAAAGAAATGCGCGTGGTAAGACCCAGCCATGACTATTATTACTTACCCTTGACATATGCTTGGCCCAGCGGAGGTTTCTCGCCTTTGAGTTGGCGGGACAGCTCCCCAATCTGCCTAGGTTGTCTCCTTGGGCTTTCAGCCTCTCAGTTCCCTCACGCCCTGTAGGTCTGTACTCGGTAAAGGTGTGCCAAAGCCGTAAGTCCGGTGATCTGTAACCGCCTGCCTCAGGTTATGGCATCCATCCCATGTAATCTCTTTGCTGACCAACATCTGTCGGGCCATCACAGGCTTATTGAGTACAGTAGGCAATGGGCAAGGTATCCATGCGTACCTGAATCCTGAGGCGCAATTGCTGGGGGCACCTTCACACGTTGGTTGGCTTAACCTTGAACGGATGATCAAGATATAGCGCGGTCTCTCAAGCTGACCAATAATCTCCGAGGCGCGGATCCTATCACCAGGGCATTGTAAGGTAACGGTGAATGCGTTCCGGGCACTGCACACGTCTGATTGATTCATGACTCCCAACGTCTCCATCTATTTCGAATCCGAGAGAGCAAAGTATCTTTGTGCCATAGCTGAGGTATCCACGTACCTACGATACCTTCCTGGCCTCGAGCCCTCTTCCAACCCAAGTCCGAAATACATACGGAGTAGACGAACGGAGATACCACCCTCTTTTCTCACTTCCCCATCACCCGTCATTCATCGATTCCACATTTCCGACTGCTGCTCCCCAAGCCGACTGTTACACGATCCTGAATGCCTGACAGCTGCCGGAGCAAAATGGAAGGAGCTTCCATTCTGTCAGCGACCCAGCCGCTCGCAGTCGCCAGCCGCGCATCTTGCTTGCTCCTCGACCATTCATCGGGCGCCATCTCGCCTCATCCCTCCCAAGCCTGACACCACTTCATCCTTGACACCATGTCTTCACGTCAATCCCCGGCTTGGCTTGCAGCACGCCGTGGCACAGCTGTCGACCGGATGCCATGATGAGCTGACACTGGCTGGGCAACCCCGTCCAACAACAGGACGGCCACGCATGACAAGTTTAACGCCGCATATCCGGAGGCTTTCGGGAACCGCAGTCCATTTCGCAGCAGCCCCTCTCGAATCCTACCCGCGTATCAGTACAAAGATATCAGAGCGGAACTGCACGGGGGCTTTGCTTCTGGTCGATCCGGAGGAACGAACCCACTGTCGCTGCCACCAAGTTTCTCAGCGGCTACCAACGACATACTGGGGCTCTGTTCTGGACGCCATTGCCTCAGCCTCATTCTCGGCCGATTACCTACACAGCTCCATTGATGCTGCCGTGACTCAAGTCATCTTTGCTCCTGGCACTTAACCTTTGTCAATGAGACGCTTTATCTGGCTGGTCAGATAGCAACGTCAGCTTAGGACAAAGGTGTGTAGTCGAGTCGCTACGATTACTCGCTCGATATTGCTTTGATGCCGTTGACAACTGCTCGGCATAGCATTCATCTCAAACAACTCTCTGGTATCTCGTATAAGATTCACCATCTCAATTCGAGTCATGAGCATCCGAGCGCTACGCCATCGTCCACATTTTGCGGCTAGTAAATATCTTCGATGTCACATTCGTTGCTCTGCAACTAGGCATCTCAAGTTTACGGCAGCAGCAATGCCAAAGTCAACCCAGTATCGTTTTCCCATTCCGTGGAAGCAGGCATGGTAGCCTCCCCAAGCTACTGGGTTGGACGATACCTGCCTGGTGGATCTATATGGAAGACGATGCGCTATCGGCGGCTAGCACTTGGCAAAATCCAGATACCGAGAGATTCACGTCCAGTGTTGGGTCCAGGCCTAGACTCTCTCTCCCCGCCCTCGCTTCGAAGTGCCAAAGGTGAAATAGTCACTTCCGAAGTTGTGGTTTGGCTCATCGGCTTAGAAGCAAGCTAGCCTTTTGGCAGACCGCCGTCGACCGCCTCCCAACGCCAACCAGCGCCATCAGCCCCAACAAAACCCTCCCCTTTTCTCACCCGATCCGGCAAGTGCACCAAGCATGCGAGACCACCGCCATTGTGGTTCGTTGGAGTCACTGGAGAGGCTCTCGTCAGCCCTACGTCCACGCACGGAACGCTTCTTTGGAATCAAAGACAATGTCTAGCAGAAGTTCTGCCACTACCGATAGCTATATGTCCTAGCGCGTGCTCGCTAACTGAAGGCGTCGCCATCACTTGGGCGGGTACTTCAGCCGATCCTCTGCACCCGGACTTGATAATCCGGGCTTGCTCAGTAATCACCTTGGTTGTCAAAGAGTACCCGGTCCTTGATCGAGCTTATTCTCCAGGGTTCAAACAGAAGACGGGCCGGGATTGCACTGGAACCACTGGGTAACATTAGCAGCTGCGCGCGGGGCGGTCACTTCTTGCTCTGATCTTCAAACTCTCATCATCTGCGCCCTGGGAGGCAGCCTCGATTGGCTGCTGTTTTCAGTTCTGGTCCCAGATTTGAACCGCTGTCAAATGCTTCAAGCTAGCCAATGACTACCGGTTCCATGTGGTCGGCGCGACCTGCATGTTCGCTATTGAGCTGAAGTAAACAGGTTGCGACCCTGTTGAAACACAAAGCCATGACAGGGGCCAAGACGAAGCCACTTGTTTCGGCGAAAGTCAGCTGTATTGAGTCACCTCAGCTTCATTGGGGAAATGCCCCTCAAGTAGCGCTGACTATCGCTCTTTCTAGCGACTATTATTGGGGCATTCCGTGTCCTCCGGCATATCGTTCTAGCAAAAGACCCCTAGAAAAGTCAATGCAATCTGACACACGCTCAGCCAGACCAGCGTATGGAAGGAGAGTAAGATGGGTTGTAGCACGTTTTGACCGCTTTTGACTGTGCTAACCAGACTAGCGTGTCCGTAGTCATTCATGTCTCTTCTGTTCCTCGGGCTCAGAAATCAGATTCGACTGTCTCATTAGCAGAACGCGCTTGGACGCCCAGCCGTTGGTTCATAGTGGACGTGCCATTGCGGGTGGATCATCAACACCTTCTCTCCTAGCGGGAAGAAGTGGGGTTTAAACGACAACCCCTGCTCAAACCGATCCTCTACTAAATCCCCGGATCGTGCGCCGAGCATATCATCCCCTCGATCGCAGTCGTTGTGTCCGTCATCGAGCCTTACGGATACAATTCACAACCCCTCCCGAGAAAGAATGCTGGAGCCTGAGCCACCATATCTTGGCAAGAGTCCGAACACGCGGAGACAGTCGATCGCATCTTGCCGTTCGTATCCAATGGAGCGGCACTTTTGAGGTGATCTCGTTTGCTGCGCGGTATACCGGTACTTCTTCTGGCCTCGTAGCAGCTTTTGCTCTCGCCATCGCGCAACCAGACTGATAAAGACCGCATTCCTAGCGCATGATATCGTGCACCGTCGATGCATATCTATGAACGAAGCTCAATCTGGAGTGATGACATCCGGGGGTGATGACAAGGCTAATTAACAGTCACAACGAAGAGCTTGTGCGGAGATTGGCGGAGTTCTCCCTGATCGATATGGCTTTATTGCACTATGCTGTTGATCTCTCTGAGCATGGATTTCGATATTCGTCTCACGGAAGCGTTGCTTCTGAATTAGGACCTCATTGCCTATGGGCTTTTCGACACCGACCTTCCAGATCGAGACACCGGGAAATAGGAGATATCTGGCGTCAACTGGAGAATGGTTCCCACATCGCGCCCGATATGGCCAGTTATTGATCAATATTTTTCAGTATCTGTATCCGTACTTGAGCACCAATTCCTTCCGATTTCTGAGCCTTCAATGATGCGGGGTCGCCGCGGGAAACGACTATCAAAAGGTATCGGCTGTCTCAGTTCGCGTGCTTCAAACGATTCAGTTGCCAAAATCTGCATCCTCAGACCTCAAGAGGTTTTACTTACCACCCTGGCGGCCTGTTACAACGACCCGATCCGCCTCATCCCGCTAGAGTTCACACCTGTCTCGATATTGGTCACTTCTCACTTTCTCCAGTTCGACAATGTACTGGTACAAGACTGCCTCCCCTAGCGGTCATTCCTTTACGGCCATAGTCAAGAGTCAAACGTGTTAGTGGCATGCGGCGGAACACCAGTCGGCGGTGTGCCAGTTCTGCCCGTCAAGCATCATGGGCCGGTCGAAGATGCAAATCGCACCATAGCTCTCGTTTTTAGGAAAACAATGATTCCACATCTATCAACCCCATCTCTGCTGTGGAGACATGGCCGGGAGCGGTCCAGCATCCCAGCGCCTACGGAGTACGGTATGCCGGAATGCAATTCTTTTCCCTTTCCAAACCCAACGAGCCTGTCATCCTCTCGTCAGGTGGAGAATAGTCACGTATCCATGTCTGCTTAGTGTCACGGCGCATGCGGGCGCATGGGGGCTGGCAAGTCAGACGTGGAGTTCCTGGCGATGGAGATTCATCGATGGATTTGGGAAGCCGAGGCCTAGGCTGCGTACGTATACAACTCCGACGTCGTCCAACCAGCTCCAACAAACAGGTGGTCGGTCCGCCTTACTACTTTGGTATGTAAGTTCAACTTGATCAGAGGAAAAGATCAACAGGCCGCGCTCAAAGTATCAGGGCTCCAGCTTTGCTCTTCTTAGGTTTCACTGTTGACTAGGTATTTGCTGCATTTTGCCGGAGTCTCCATCATAGTTCGAGGCCCTCTTGTTAACCTGGGAAGTCTGGACCGCTCACAACTCGAAGGCTAAATCCTCGTCCACATCTAATCCACAACCACACACTACTTGCTACCATGTGGCATTTCAACTTTTGCTAGTGCCAAACGTTTGGCGATGAGCTGTCAATACTACGTCAGAAAGCACTTTCCTAATCAGCGATTCCGCCGATCGGGTGCATAGACTCACCTCACCGCACGTCACCGGTCCGTACTTTGCCGGGCTACTCTCATCAATGCAGGTCGGAAGGACGCCAAGCTCCTGGTCGAAATTGAATCCTGTTTTATTGCGAGACAATCGATCAGTGGAAAGGGAACCAGAAGGTGGGCATCATCCTCCAAGTTCATGACCTCATGATGAAAAGGAGAATCTCTTACCAAAGAAGAAGGGCATGGAGATCCTGTCCTCTCTGCCGTGCTGCACGACGCGGTGTACAGTCGACTTGAGCCTATCGTTTGTCATTCTCATGAAGAAGTCGCCAATGTTAACAACAAACGTGCCGCGGATCGGCGGCGCCCACATCCACTCCCCCGCACTGTTGAGCACTTGCAGTCCTCGGTGACTGTCTTGCCACAGAAGAGTCAAGATTTGCAAGTCCGTGTGCGCGCCGACGCCGACCTCGTCCGGGTCCTGAATCGGCTCGTCCCCGTGACCAGGATAAAAGTTTATTGCGAAGTCACCGCCGGGGTAGGTAGTGAGTGAATCGAAATAATCTTCCGGCAGGTCGAGGGCCAGAGCAATGACACGGATAAGACGGCGGGAGAGGGCCAGGCACTCGCGCCAGTGCGCCAACACTGTGGCCTTGAAATCCGGAAGGACGGCAGAATCGCCATCGTCAGTCCACTCAAAGTCCTCCCGAGGTAAATGCGCTCTGACGTTCACGGGAACCTGGTCGAGCCGGTTCTCGTGGAGAGGATCGAACTCGGGTTCATAATGACAGAGGAAGGCCTCTTTCCTATCTTTGGTCTCGCTCGGGTTGGCCTGCCGCTCCCGGAAGCCGGTGTACCCGTAGGCCGATGTGTTGGAGGTGAGCTTTCGCTTTTCCTTCTCGGGAAGCTTGAAGAACCTAGTTTCGAGTAAGCTCAGATGTCTCTGGAAACGTATCCGCATGGTCTGCAAAAGGATTCGGGTTAAGTGACACGGTAAGTGGGCGAGCCTACTTACTCTATTCCCTTTTGATGCGCCGCTTCGATCACTTGCTCGGGAATGCCGTGATTCTTGATGTAAAAGAACCCGCTGGTTTTGGCAGCACTCAAAATCTCCAGGGCAATCGCTTTGCGTTCTTCAAAGTCGCCTGTAAGCCCGCTCAAGTCGATGATGGGCACGTCGTCGAGGGTGCAGTCTTTAGGTGGGCTCGTGGACACCAGCCTGTAAGTCGGCCCATCAAAAGTATTGAGCATGACCTTCTTCTTTCCCGTGGGAACAGTTTCGATTGCGGTTGCTGCGGTCATTTTAAAAAGCACACTTGATCTACAGCCTGAACCTCTGGAGCGCCACGATCTTCAAAGCGATCAGTATCAAAATGATATTTAGTCGAACAATATCGTGATTTGGTGCACCGGTATCCCCCAATGTCGGCAATGCGACATGTCAGAGTGGGGGTAATGATCTGCTATATATAAAACTTCAATACCTGAAGCTGACGTTACACGACTCAACATTTTACTGCCGCCACTATTGAACTCCTTACATGCTGTCGAAGATTATCCTCAGGATAAGGTGCTGAGATAAGGTTATCACCTATCCGTCGATTTCCGGTTATTTCCTTCCCCAATCGCGCTGCCCCGCTACGTGGGTCTCCACATGAGCCAACACATAAAGGGCCACTGTCATCCGGCTATCTCCTGTTCCGTCCGATCACCAACGATCACCTACCTACACTTTTTCTCTCCGTTCCCTTCATTCGGCACGAAACAACTTGCTTGCAACTATATCGCATCCGGCCCATCTCCCGAAAGCTGGAAGGTTATGAGGTGGGTAATCGATTAAGCGGACCGAGGCAGGATATGCACGCCGGAGCCGAAACGCCAAGCGTGCGACGGCGCAGGTTGAGCGACGACAGCCGACGGGATGTGGTGGGGATGGAGGAGTCGAGCCGGAAGAGAAAGAGGCGGATCCTCTCCTGTGACACGTGCCGGAGGCAGAAGTGTCGGTGTGAACTCGACGAGGATTCCGAGGCGTGCGCGAGGTGTCGTTCGTTGAGGTAAGTTGATGATCGGCGCTCCGGGTTGTTGTTGGTTTGATAAGTTGCCGCTCGAGCTATTCGCGTTTCCTCATTGCAACCGTGACGAGGGCTCCCCCTTACAACATGAGAATCCGACCAATTGGAAGAGAAGTTTCAGAGGAGCTGATGAATGTAGAATTACTTGCACATGGAACGACAGCGGCGATACCCATTCAGTTTCTTCGCGCGAACCACCGGCCAAACTTGATGTGGAGGGAAGGTATGAATCCCATGACTTGAAATATTCCCCTGGTCCACTGGTTTTATACCATTTGCCTAATACGGTAATACTTACGAAACCAAAGCGCTAACTGACTTTCCATCGGCAGGTTCCGAAGCCTAGAAGCGTCTATAGTAGACCTCAAGGCAACGGTGCAGGCGCTAGCATCGGGCAGCCGGCCAGAAGTGAGACGGGCGTTGGCAACGGGGCGCCAAGAGAGACTCCATCAACCGCAGCAGCAACATTCACCGGCCGATAAGAGTGTTGTCGACGATCACGATTCTGAAAAGGCCAGGGAAAACGAGGACGTCGAGCCAGGAGACCGACATGTTTACTTATCTCCAGCAGAAGTTGTCCGAAAAGTTGGAAGCCAACTGAGTGGAGGTTATCGAAGGACATTCGATGTTCAAGCTGATGTCGTTTCGTCAGGTATTTTGGACGACAAGACGGCTCGTGATTTGGTTGCAGAGTGAGTTCTTTTATTCAACGTTGCCTCAAGTACTTTGGACATGAGCTTGGTTAGGAAGGAAAAAGAAACCACTATGCATGTTAGAAGTCGGGTGGGCGAATCATGTTTCGCCAACATGTCTGTCACAGCTACATCGTCGTATTGGCAACTAGCTAACATTTTGCTAATCCGCGATACATAGGTTCGTCAGTCGAAGGCGGAATACCCTCCTAATCAACAGCGAAGCCGACCTCGCCCCAAAGAACAGGGACCTCCGGCACGCCTCGCCCTTTTTACACGATGCCTGCTGTCTGCACGCGATGCGCTTTTCCGAGCACAGCTCGTCGGTACTACACCGCCGTGTGTTTGAGCACGTGCGCCTACAGATGGGTCAGCTAATGATTGCGAGCCCGTTGCCTTTGGAAGAGTTGACAGGCATCATGATTATGGCTTTATGGGCTTCAGCACCATCGGTACGTTGTGCCATACATGGTCATTGAGATCCATAAACGTGGAACAGGAAGAAATCAGTGAACAAGATATTTGGGTGCAGATTGACTGATGCAAAACAAAAAACAGGGGCCGGAATACATCGACAGCTGGTTGGTGAGCGGACATTGTGCGCAACAGGCTATGTTGAGCATTAACTTCTCGGAAGTCTTGTCGCGGACAAAATCAAGGACATCGACAGATGAGGACCAGAGGGTCATGCGACTTTGGGCCAACACGTGCTTGGTAAATCTCCAGTGAGTCTCCCCTGCCATGGTTGATATTTTGATTTATAAAGGGAATGAAATAGATCTGGAAAAAGGAAGGTGGACGTTGTTGGAACAGGATCTACAGTACTGATTGTAGAACCAACAAACACATTAAGAATATTGCTAATGCCGATCAATATGCAGTTGGGCCGCGACCACTAGTCGACCAGCAACCGTACCGGCTGCATACCTTCTGCAGTGCAAGCTTCTACTCAACTTTGAGAAGCCGACAATGCTCGATGCCATGGTCTACGCCGAGATCATGCTTTACATGATCCTACAAGACAAGTTTGCGCAACGATCTTACTTGGGAAGCGACGGCACATGTGAAGAGCTCTCGGCGTGGAAGACGAGGTGGAATTACCTATTTGGTAAGTACCGAACGCAGCTGATCCCCGCGACGCGACGACGTACATTCAAAGACAAGGCGCCGACCACGACATGTCCATCAATTGTAATGCTAGCAGGCATCATGGTACAAGCTGACGTATCGATTGAACAGATCTTCCGGCCGCATCAACATTGAGGATAAGTTACTCAATAGCGTGGCTCATCCTCGCCCGGCGTTCACTCGAACACGATCAAGCCACCTCGGATCAAGACTCCTTGTCCAGCTCACCGAGACTTGTTCCGGCCGATGCGCGAGCGGATAGACGACAGAGAAACGCGGATCCGCAAAGCCCTCCCGACACGACGCAGTCGCGCGTGCGAGCCTTTGCGACAGACGTCGTCAGGGCCTTTGTCGACATGCCCGGTTCCCGCGCAGAGGAGCTGCCCGAGTTCCACCGCCTATGTGTCGCATACGCGATGCTCATCATCTCCAAGTACGAGCAGAGATCTTCCTTACTTGAAGGTGATGGTGCGGGCGTGGGCGAGGGTGACGATGCGGTGTTGGAACTCCTCCGCGCGGCACAGAGGCACAACGGCGTCCGAGGGAACAGCGCACCGTCTGCGATTCAATTCGGCCTAGAGAGGGCTTTAAAAAAAGTAGCGGAGAGGACGGAAGCCCGCGCTGGTAGCACAGCCAGAACTACTGCCGGGGGCGACGGCCATGGGTTGCCGGAAGTGGGAGTGTCATTTGTGAGGAGTGGAAGCCTTCGGGGTCCGTCGGCCGTGGCCGCAGCCGCGACGGCAACACCGACTTGGACACATCATCATCAGGACAATGTACCGGGCCAACATAACCATAATCCATCCTCTTTCACGGGAGCGACGCTGGTCCCGGAGTTTGACGAGTCGCTCTCCCTGGAGACAATGGATATCTTCTTCAGCGGCGGCCACCTTGGGCTCGGCGAACACTCATTCTTTTGACGTCGCGACTTCGCGCGTCCGTCAAAGCAAGGCCGTTGGGTTGAGCAAAACATGCTTGGAAATTGGGAAATACATAAAGAAGGAAAATCATGAGCGTGGTTGTGGCAAGAATTTCAAGCAATAACGGTCGCACGCCGGACACCTTTGTTCTTCTCGCCCCAGCCCTTTGTCTTCTTCCTGGACCGGCTTCGGCTCCGAAAAAGACGCACAACGCCCAAATCTCCCCCAGAAATCGCGTTGTTCCTCATATATCGAGCGAGTTCCATTGGTAAATCTGATTCGTTCTTTTGGAAGAACGTTTGCAACCTGTAAGTAATGACGTAACTCAATGTGAAAGCCTTTCACTACCCGGAGCCCTCGTACCTGCGCAAAAGCAAATAGTAACTGGGGATTGTGTTCCGCCGTTTTGTCGTGATTATTTGATTTCCAAAGACTCTCAATACTGAGACTTTGGAGAAATTGGCGCAACTCTCGCAAGGCTGGCGTGCTCCGTGAAGTCTCCAAGCGATCCTCTGCCGGAATACACACTTTTTGAATACTCTCGAGTTCGCCAGGCTCCCCATCTGAATACACAGGAAGCCTTCATGTACCCCCTCAATCCCATTCCTGTCACCAGCCAGCAGGCGCCCGTCTAGGTCGATGGGTCAGGTCAAACTGGCTGAGTGGTGGAGTGGTTCAAGGTCAACAATCAATCACGCCCACAGCCTACTCGACGACAGGCTCCGAGTTCGAGTTCGATTCCCAGCAAGAGCACCAAGAGAGGTAGCCTACCGAGGTGAACTCTTTTTTGTCCATCCAAGGTCGAGCGCATCCAAGTGCACACGGGGGATCACGCCAATGATGTATGAAACACCTGATTTCGTCTGGATGTCATGTCTGGGTAGCCGTTGCATTTCCGCTTGCGTCGAAATGAAGACCATGGCTTTCTGAACCGCGGTATCGCGTCGCACGCGCCTATAGTATCTATAATCGATTGATCCGAGGATTTATGCAAGGAGTTCGCGACATGGTTGCCTGGCCGCCCAACGGCAAATCGTTCATGTCGCATCGCGTGTAAGTCGACCGCAGGATTGGAGATTGCGGCGAAGACTATTGCTCTGTCAGTCCAACTGCGGGCCGAACCTCAAGCTAACTTACTGTGAGACAATACTGACAATTATTTAGAATAACCCCTCGTGCCCTTTCATCAAGGGAAATCGGTTTGCGCCACGGCTGCTAAAATGTCTTGTAAATGTCATTGAGGGCACAAAACTTCTCTGGCTGGAGGCAGCTACGGGGAATTTCTCGCGACCTTTCCAGGGGAATTCCCAAAAGCTCTGCGTGCCTCTTTGGCTTAAGAGCTGCATAATGCGCCTGAGAATGTCCGTCGTGACCGTCGTGAACGCCTCGGAGTGAAAATCAAAGGTTGTCCACGCCTCGTCAAGTTAAGACAGCGATGCACCGCAAATGCGGCAATGCGCTCCCAAAACCACCGTTCTTGGACCCAATTG